ACCCCGGCTCCGGAGCTGCATGCGACTCTTTAGCATCCCCTTGCAGCTTTTTAAAAAAAAACTATGATGTGCAGGAGGTCAAACAAAAATTACGTTTTCCAATGCTGTAAACATTTGTATAATAAACATATTTAAACAATAATTAGCATCATAGCCATAAAGATCAGTGGTCATAACTTGGAACCAGTGTGGCGCGTTGCCAGGGAAACAAAGCTGCAGGTGTTTCTAGGACCATGGATCCCAGAGGGAAAAAAAGAAAGATAGTTGATGAGAAAAGAGGATTCAAAGAATGGAGCGAATCATTTGCTTTCATTATCAATGCGGAAGGATTGCCCGCATTTTTGCTTTGTAATGAGAGGTTGTCAATAAATATAAAAAAAAATTTGGAAAGGAATTTCCAAGATAAATATCCAGCCGACCACCAAGCTGGGAGGGAGAGAAAAAGTCAATTGCAGAACTTCTGGATGAATTAGAGGAGATTATAGATAGATTTAAGGAGTGGATTGCATCTCCAAACTCCACTACTGCTGCTGGTTTGGTTGAATCATAGAAAACCGTTCTCAGATCCAACAGGTAGCGCTCTGATGCAGGGATGGGAACTTTCCTCCATTTTTTCCCCAAATCTTAAAAATATAAATCCCACCAAGGAACGCTGGTGACGGAGGATGCGGGATTTCAGGGTTAGAGAGCTCTGCTCTGATGGATGTCACTTCCTGCTTGGTTCCCCATGACTCAAACAACTCCTCCCAACAGAAACACGTCCACCACAGAAAGATTCCTTTATTGTGTTTCTATCATTTTATCAATGCAAACAAGCGGCATGATGGGGAAGCCGTGTGTGATGGGAGCGTTCACTGCTCGTCCATCACTTCATGCAGCTATGTGACATTTGCTCCAGGATGAACATTTAATCATAAATACTTATATATTTAATCCCACAGTCCTTTCTATAGTGGGATAAAACACTTAGAGCCCATGTTGCCATACGAGGCTGATAGAAGACTTTTACATTTTTGCGGCTCTAGACCGATTTAATTTTTGTTTTTTTTGGTCCGATATGGCTCTTTGAGCCGTTTGGGTTGCCGCTTCCCGACCCCTGGTTTAGAGGAAACAGGAACTAAAACTAAAGGACCACAGATGAGCTGGAACGTCTGCATCGGTTAGAGAAAACAAGAAAACATAGGATTGAGCTGGACCAGGAGATCAAT